TGGGCAGAGAAGGTGGGCGATGGGCAGAAAGGTGGGCGATGGGCAGAGAAGGTGGGCGATGGGCAGAGAGGTGGGCGATGGGCAGAGAAGGTGGGCGATGGGCAGAGAGGTGGGCGATGGGCAGAGAGGTGGGCGATGGGCAGCACACACCAGGCAGAGCGGTGTGGGGTGGGGGGGTGCGTTGATTATGGAAGCAACATGGGAGGACACATGCTTTCTCCCCTCCCACCCCACCCCACCCCACCCCATCCCACCCCCTCCCATCCCATCCCACCCCACCCCACCCCATCCCACCCCCTCCCATCCCATCCCATCCCATCCCATCCCATCCCATCCCATCCCATCCCATCCCATCCCATCCCATCCCATCCCACCCCACCCCACCCCACCCCACCCCACCCCACCCCACCCCATCCCATCCCATCCCATCCCATCCCATCCCATCCCATCCCATCCCACCCCAGCCCACCCCATCCCATCCCATCCCATCCCATCCCATCCCATCCCATCCCATCCCATCCCATCACATCCCATCCCACCCCATCCCATCCCACCCCAGCCCAGCCCATCCCATCCCATCCCATCCCATCCCATCCCATCCCGTCCCATCCCATCCCGTCCCATCCCATCCCACCCCACCCCATTGGATGGCATGCATGCATGCACCCAAGGGTGCACCTCAATGGCCCGCATGGAGGCTGCCAGGTCGTCCTTGGCTTGCGACCCTGACGTGCTCTGCCATGCCATGCCATGCCATGCACAAAAAATCGTATGCCATGACATGCATTATGCACCGCACATCACATGCCATGCCATTCACATGATGACATGCGACAACATGTGATACAATAACATGCCATGCCACGTAATGCACAACAGCACAGCTATGCATGTGAGTGAAAGCACAGCATGTGAGTGAAAGCACAGCATGTGAGTGAAAGCACAGCATGTGAGTGAAAGCACAGCATGTGAGTGAAAGCACAGCATGTGAGTGAAAGCACAGCATGTGAGTGAAAGCACAGCATGTGAGTGAAAGCACAGCATGTGAGTGAAAGCACAGCATGTGAGTGAAAGCATGCATCTTTCATCGAACGCTGATAGTTGTTCTAATCAATCTGATGCCCCGATGTGTCACCTCTTTCTATTCTGCCGCACTGGTTCATCTGCTGCCCTGTATGCTTCATCTGCTGTCCCATTATTCGCCCACCTGCCCCGAATTCTTTCATCAGCAGCTCCGAATGTTTCAGCTGCAGCCCACCCTGTTTGACGTGTCGTCCCAAAAGCGTCACCTTTTGTGTGCATCAGCTGCCCCAGGACTGCCCAAAACGTTTCATCAGCTTCCCAAACGTTTAATTACTTGCCAAAAAGACTGCCCAAACGTTTCATCAACTGCCCAAACGTTTCCTCAACTGCCCAACCGTTTCATTACCTGCCCCTTTTCATTAGCTACCTGATCAGTCGCCCAAACGTTTCATCAGCTGCCCAAACGTTTCATCAGCTGCCCGAACGTTTCATCAGCTGCCCCAGGGCTGCACCTGCTGGCGGATGGCGCACCTGCTGGCGGATGGCGAGGAGGATCTCGGCGTCGACTCGGCGGATGCGGTTGCGCAGCTTCTGGATGAGCGGATCCACCGCCGCTAACGACGACTCTGCGGGGGGAAAGGGGGAAGGGCGGCGAGGGCGGGGTGCGGGTTGGGGGAGAGGAAGGGGGGCATGGCAGCGACGCGCAGCACGGCGACGGTGTGACGACGACCCCCGCCGCGGAACGCGCGTGGCTGCTGCGCTCGCTGGTTCTAACCGCGCTCGCCGCGGCGGGATGGAGAGCGAGGGGAGGGGTTCAGGTTGGTGGGGGGAGCAGCACCGTTGGGGAAGATGAGGCGCGGGGAGGGCAGCACCGTTGGGGAAGAGGTGGTTGATGAAGTCGACGGTGTTGAACTCCGGCATGTCCAACGACGCCGGCAGCCGCGCCGCCGCCACCGCCGTGCCGTCCGCCAGCGACTGGCTCTGCGGGTCGGCCGCCATGGCGAGCGCGTGATGCGGAAGGCTCTACTCGGTGTGCGTCGGGGCGTGGTGGAGAAACGGAGCTGGTTGCAAATGACGATTGTGATTCGTGATGCGGCCTGGCGTGCATTGTGATAGCTATCTGAAGGGTGCGGTGGTGGATGAGGGGAACTCGTGAGCTTTGGTGATTGTCGCGTGTTACCACGTGGTGGTTACAACGCTCAGTTGTGAAAAAAAAGAAAAAAAAATCCTTATCAGGCTTGTAGTCCATCACATACAACCCCAACTTTCGGAAGGACAGACTCTACCGACTTTCTCGAGAGGCTGCCTCTCGTCGCCTTCGGTTTCCCATTGCCCAGTCCTGTACCCAACCTTGATCCTCGGATTTCCTGCTTAGCTAGAATTGACCATTGTATGATATTGCCACGTTCATTGTATCGTCAATTCAGTTGATCATAGCTTCGCTATTCGTTAATTCCGCGCACTCTATTTTACAGCTTGACACTTGGTATCAGATCTAATTCTCTGGCTTACCCAGCGTTAGCAGGGTAGTACGTTTCAGCGATAAAATACCGCATAAGAAGGGGGCATATAGGGGGGTACAAGTTTCAACCCGTACCTTCTCCATTACAACCCAACATAGAACAACAAAATATGCCTACAAATGTATAATTGTACATTGAGACACTCTCAAACTATGTTTATAATTTGGATAGGCTGTAGTGAGGTACTTTTCACGGGGTACATAACATTCTCAACACTTTTCTTCCCCTCCCCCCTCCCCCCCTCCCTCCTTTCCCTAGTCAACAAACCATTCTCGTTACCTTCCTAAGCCACTTAGAGTGTGTCCCTATGGCCTCATATCAGGCAACCGCGTATCAGATTCGCGTCAAACCGCACTAACACGCATCCAACTGCAGTCGAACACACTGAAACGTATTTCACCACACGAAGCTGATAAGAGGTGTGTCTGATACGAGGTGTAGGAATACGCTCTTGTCAAACTATATGTTTCTTATCTTGTAGGCTACATTGAGGTTCACTCTAAAGGGGATAACCCAATCAGGGTTTCCTACTTGTATCCAATTGCCTAGTACATTCAAACCTGCCTAGTGATTCTGACATGGTTTCAGAGCTGGTTCGTCCGTAGGATCGCTCCGTTAGGGCCCACCAACCGTAGGAATTGCACGTTTTTTGCCCTGCCCTGCCCGCACGTCGCCCTGCTGCCCATGCACTACCCTGCCATCAGGCCTCTGGATAGGATTTGGGCTACTCTTTCTCGTAAGGCCAACACCCAGCCTTGACTCTTTCAGTAAGGGTCCTTCACAAAAACTGCTCTTAAAAATCAGGGTGCAAACAAATTTAATCATTTATGTAATATTTTTACTTCAATAGCATGTAGGATCTTGATGTGGCAGTGCCTAAGTAGTTACAATTATGTGAAAGCCCCGAGATCAAAATCCAGCGCGGGCATCTTGTGCAACTAATACGTTTTGCGGAACCAATCCTGGTATCCTCTCTTAGATCAAACTCGATTTCATCAGTGCTACTACACCACATAGCTCTGAAATATCAGTGTCGTATAATCGATCACTTTTTTTTTGTAAGGGTCTAAAACAAAACCAGTCTTGTAAAAAAGGGTGCATAGTCAAACCCGCCCTTATAGTAAGGGTCATAAGGGTGAATCACCCTGATATCGAGAGGCCTGCCTGCCATGCAGCCCGCGCGCCGCCACGCCCTGCAGCCCGCGCGCTACCCTGCCCTCGCAGCCCTACAGCCCGCGCAGCCATGCAACCTGCGCGCTGCCCTTCCCGCGCAGCTCTGCAGCCCGCACGCTGCCCTGCCCTACAGCCCGCGCGCTGCCCTGCCCTGCAGCCCGCGTCACCCTGCTGCCCACGTTGCCCTGCATGTCAGAATCCCAGCCACTAGACCACTGGGATAAAAGGGCTTGTTTGTGTAGCGGGTAAGTGAGCCCATAACCCCCAAGGCCAACGTGCCTGTAACCCTTTCGTAGGATCAATCGGGGATCACCAGTGGACCTCTGACACCCCCCCGCACTGGGATGCCCGAAGTGCACACACTGGGATTCGAACAAGAGACCTACGCTTTGATACCATGTCAGAATCCCAGCCACTAACCAGTGGGATAAAAGGGCTTGTTTGTGTAGCAGGTAACTGCGCCCATAACCCACCAAGCCAACGTGCCTGTAACCCTTTCGTAGGATCAATCGGGGATCAGTGTTGGAGGTTGAGTGTGGTTGAAGCAAGTGATGGTGGGGTGGTTGTATGCCCCCAACCCACCGAATGTGTTTCGGTGCTCACCATTTGAGTGAGCTGCAGGTTTCGAAGTGTGTGGGTTGACTTCGGAAGACCCACTCAATTGGTGCCACATGGCTACACAAGAAGAATCGAGACTGAGGAAGAATTCGGTTCGGTGAAATTCGGGTGCTGAATTTCACCCCTTTCGAAATGTTACTCGAACATTCGCGAGTGTACCGCGGTTCGATGTTACTTGTGCGACTCGATGTTGATTGCATGCTATAAATCTGTTTGCTTTGTATTGCATGTATCATACTAAAAACCTGAATCACTTTGTATGTGATACACTCGACTACAAAATCCAGAGAGCTCCTATCCTTTGTTCTAAGAGCACTAGCAAGCACATAAACGCCTATAACTCTCTCGTTACTTAGGCGAATCGCGTGTTTGATGGTTCGTTGGAAAGCCAGCAGTGTGCTCTATCATTTAGAACATTTTCCAGTTCCTGCAAAGTAGAGGAGAGTCCTTTACAACAGTGGTATCAGAGCTGGTCGAAGGAGTCTTCGCGCGCGACAAGGAGCAAGCATGCCGACTTCAAGCGAGGCCTCCCGCACTTCCTTGGATGGTGTCGTTGTAAATTCCAGCAAACTCTGGGCAACCGCAACGATATTCGAAACGTCGTCGGTACCGATTTTCACGGGACAAAACTACTCCACGTGGAAGTTTAAGTTCCAAGTGCTCATGATGGAGCGGGGACTTTGGGGTCTCTTCGATGGAACGGAGAAGAAGCCGGACGACGAGAGCGGCATTGCGGCATGGAAGAAGAAGGACCAAAAGGCGTTCGCAACGTTGATTTCGCGCATCGGCATCAACCTCGTAAGCGCGGTGCGCACGTGCATCAAGCTCGAAGCGTCGGCGCATGAAGCATGGAAGCGGCTTGAGACAATGCACGTGAACAGACTCTCCACGGCAAGATCCTAGCCCGGAATGCGTTCTACACGGTGAAGTTGCGCGCGGGCGAATCGATGCACGAGTATGCGACTCGTGTGGAGGAACTCGGGGAAACGTTCATGGACCTCGGTGGAACGGTCATGGAGGAGGATTGGATTTTGACCTTGCTTTGCGGCCTTCCGGAAGAGTAGTCGACGGTGATTACGACACTCGATAGCGTGCAAAACACTTGGACGAAAGAAATGGTGGTCGGTCGGCTTCTCCATGAGGAATCGCGTCGCCGACAATTCGTTAATGAGAGCGCAGGGACCGCCATGTACTCCGGAGGGAGTTCCGGAAAGAAGTCCAAGTGGAGCAAGGGTGCGACGAATGAATCGTCCGGTGGGAGCGAGCATCACGGCAAGTGTTACTATTGCCGCAAACCGGGACACTTTTGGCGTGAGTGTCGGAAGTGCTCGAGCGATTGGACTCCATCGATGGTGCGCGACCAAGAGGGCAACGCGCACACGGCATCCGGCGAGGCCGATGATTCAAAGGAGTCGCTCGTGTTAGTGGCCGGCAACGGGAACAAAACTCCAAGCGACGCGTGGTTCCTCGATACCGGCGCAACGCAACACATGACGCACTTGGCGTCGCTCCTCAACAACATTGGCGATCCGGGAGACGTCACGAGCATCGTGTTCGGAAACAACGAATTGCTACCGGTGGTTGGAGTTGGGAGTACGCGCCTCATCGTCGATAGCGGACCGGTGGACGTCACGAACGTGCTTCACGTCCCGGGGGTGAAGGTGAACCTTCTATCCGTCCCGCAACTTGCGAAGAAGGGCGTGATCGCCACCATCGACGGCGCGAAGATGAACCTCTTTTGGAAGGGGGAGCAATTCGCGCAAGGTGTTCTCAACGGAGATATCTACCAACTCAAGACGTACCCGAGAGCGGCTTCATCCAACGTGGCGCAAGGCTCCAAGGCGACTCTTAAGGCGTGGCATAATCGGCTTGCGCACGCCAACTACGAGCTGGTCAAGGAGTAGGCCAACAAAGGACTTGCGAAGGGAGTCAACGTGATCGCCGGCGACGACAAGAAGGGCGTGTGCGCATCGTGTGTCGAAGGAAAAATGGCTCGCAAGCCATTCAGTAGCCGGACGTCACCCCTCGCTAAGGACCCGCTTGCGCTTGTTCACATGGACGTGTGTGGACCGATGCTAAAGGGAGGAGCGCGGTTCCTCTTGGTGATGCTCGACGACGCGACGCGGATGTGTTGGATCCGACTCTTGAAGGCTAAGTGAGATGCGGCCAAGGCGATTCAAGAGTGGGCGCTCGATGTTTGCGACGACGACAAGAAGCGGATCAAGTGTATTTGTACCGATGGTGGTGGCGAATTCGTGAACAACGAGCTTGCGAAATGGATGAAGAGCAAGGGCATCAAGCACAATGTCACAACACCTTACACACCCCAACAAAATGGAGCGGCGGAGCGGCTTAATCGCACATTGGTGGAAGCCGTTCGTTCACTTCTTCAACACTCCAAGTTTGGGAGCGAGTGGTGGGGTGAGGCGAGTTCGCTAGCGGCGTGGATTCGCAACCGTTTGCCGACGAAGGTGCTCCCGGGAACGACTCCGTTCGAAGCATGGAGCGGAACGAAGCCGAACCTATCACGCCTACGCACCTTTGGGTGCCTTTGCTACTACCATGTACCGGATCCTCTTCGCCACAAGTTGCAACCGAAAGCTCGTGCGGCGATCTTCTTGGGAGTTGCGCCAAACGAGCGTGCGTGGCGAGTGTGGGACTTGGGCGACAAACGCGTTGTCACGTCTCGGGATGTGGTCTTCGACGAAGACAAGTTCCCGGCGAAGGAGAAACCAACTCAACAAGTCACCTTCATCCTTCCGGCACGAGAGGAGGTTGAAGAAAATGAGGTTCTACCTCAAGTGGAGAAGGAAGCCGATGGAGGGGGAGAGAACGACGAGGAAAGCGTTGATGATGTCGTGGAGGTGCCACCAACCGAGGCGGCAACTACCTCCACACCTTCCTCCCTACCATTGGCCTTGACCCGCGAGCGTCGTGAGGTTCGTCCTCCCTCCAAATACGCCGACTATGCTACGGTAGCTGTTGGGGAGACGGATAAGGAGGGCACGGCATTTTGCTTCGCGACCAAGGGTGATGATGAACACGCGGAATCTCTCATGGAACCACCCCCTAAAGACCCATCCTGTGCGTGCTACAAGCATGATGGATTACACACCTAGTGGGTTGGGTGCAAGGGGGAGTGTTGGAGGTTGAGTGTGGTTGAAGCAAGTGGTGGTGGGGTGGTTGTATGCCCCCAACCCACCGAATGTGTTTCGGTGCTCACCGTTTAAGTGAGCTGCAGGTTTCGAAGTGTGTGGGTTGACTTTGGAAGACCCACTCAATTGGTGCCACATGACTACACAAGAAGAATCAAGACTGAGGAAGAATTCGGTTCGGTGAAATTCGGGTGCCGAATTTCACCCCTTCGAAATGTTACTCGAACATTCGCGAGTGTACCGCGGTTCAAGGTTACTTGTGCGACTCGATGTTGATTGCATACTATAAATCTGTTTGCTTTGTATTGCATGTATCATAATGAAAACATGAATCACTTTGTATGTGATACACTTGACTACAAAATCTAGAGAGCTCCTATCCTTTGTTCTAAGAGCACTAGCAAGCACATAAACGCCTATAACTCTCTCGTTACTTAGGCGAATCGCGTGTTTGACGGCTCGTTGGAAAGCCAGTAGAGTGCTCTATCGTTAGAACATTTCCTAGTTCCTGCAAAGTAGAGGAGAGTCCTTTACAGCAATCACCACTGGACCTCTGACACTGCAGCCCGCGCGCTGCCCAGCCCGCGCGCTGCCCTGCCCGCGCAGCCCTGCAGCACGCGCGCTGCCCTGCCCTGCAGCCCGCGCAGTGCCCTGCCCTTCACCCCGCGTCGCCCTGCAGCCCACGTCGCCGTGCTGCCCGCGTCGCCGTGCAGCCAGCACGCCCTGCTGCCCGCGTCACTCTTCTGCTCGCGTCGCCCTGCAGTCCACGCGCCCTGTAGCCCGCGTCGCAATGCTGCCTGTGACACCCTGCAGCCCGTGACGCCCTACTTCCTGCGTTGCCCTGCTACCCGCATAGCCTTGCAGCCCGCGCGCCTTGCTGCCTGCATCGCCTTGCAGCCCGCGCGCCCTGCTGCCTGCGTCGCCCTGCAGCCCGCGCGCCCTGCTGCCCGCGTCGCCCTACTGCCCGCACGCCCAGCAGCGCGTGCGCTGCCCTGCAGCCAGTGCGCTACCCTGCCTTGCAGCCCGCGCGCTGCCTGCCCGCTGCTGGTGCCGCCCACGCGCACTGCGCGCCCTGCCCGCGCGCTGCCCTGGCTGCTGCCCTACCAGTGCACTACACGCCCTGCTTGCTGCTGTGCCCCGCCCCTGCCTGAGTCGCGCAGCCCTGCCCGAACCGCGCCGAGCCGCCCAGCTGACCTGCCACTACATCGACTATCGCCACAACTACAGCAGACGCCACTGCCGCCCTTGTGCCGCTGGTACTGACTCCCACTGCCTGCCATGGCCACTATCATGGTCGTAGTAGTGTCTGGGGGTGGACACCAGCAGCAGTGTCAGCTAGAGACTCTATCGACGCAGCAGCTCTGGTGCTGGAGCTTGGGATTTCATATGTCTCGAGACGCTCTCGCCGCAACAACTTCATGAGTGGGTTATCCAGCCAGGCCGCTCTGGTTGGGGTAGTGGTACTGGAGGTACAAGGTGCTAGACAGCAGCGGAAGCAGAGTCAGGAGGAGACCCTCTCAGTGCAGCAGCTTTGAGAGTGGTTTTTTCAGCGGCGCGTCCCAGGTAGTGCAGAGGCTGCTAGTCTAGGTGGAATGATAAGAGAACACCAAAATAGAGGCCAGAGCGAGCTCTAGCCTACTCCAACACACCCCCAGGTTATGTGAAGCTCTAGAACAAAACACCTAGCGAACCGGAACACCTCCAGAAGTGGCGAGACGCGTGAGCCGAAGCTAGCGCACGTAGAAACGTTGTGGTGCACGAAGGAGGGCCTTGGTGAAAATGTCAGCAAGGTTGGCATTAGCGGCCACCTTGCGAAGACGTAAGAAGCCAGACTGCACCAGCTCGCGCGTGAAGAAGTAGCGGGCCTCTATGTGTTTGCTGCAGGCGTGATGGACAGGATTTTCAGCGAGATGAATCATGCTTGCACTGTCACAGGAGAGCGTCACAGAGGGCTGAGAGTGACCAAGCTCAGCAAGGAGAAAGGAGAGCCAGCGAGCCTCCTGAGCTACCAATGTGCCTACGTACAATTCAGCTTTGCAGGTGGAAAGGCAGACAGAGGATGAGCGAGTGGAGCGCAAGCTGATGAGACCACTGCCAAGAGTCAAACCATAACCCTAAGAGGAGCGGCGATCAGGGCGAGAATCAGCGCAGGAGGAATCACTGTAATCGGAAAGAACAGAGGGAGAACAGCCAACAAGAGTGAGTGCAAGATCAGAGGTAGCGCGGAGATAGCGGAGAAGGCGCTTGGCAGCCACTTAGTGCATGTCAATGTGGCAACCAAGGCCAACAAAGTGAGAGAGGACTCAAAGGGGGTAAGCAAGATCGGGGCGAGTGCACATCATAGCATACATGAGTGACCCAACGAGTTCAGGACAGGGGCGCAGTTCTGAGGAGGGAGTGGTTAGCGGGAAGAAGAGTGGAAACTGGCTTGGCCTGCAACATTTCAAAGCGCTCAAGGATGGAGTGGATGTAGAGAGATTGAAAGAGAGAGATAGTGCACGTAGTACGATCGCGACGAATCTCCATGCCGAGGTAGTGGCGAAGCTTGCCAAGATCCTTGCACAGGAGACGTGCATGGAGGGCCTGTTTGACAGCGGCAAGGTCGGCATAATCTTCAGCGAGGAGCACCAAGTCATCGACGTAGGCAATAATGTAAAGCCTGTGGGGGGGGAGTTTGAATGAAGAGACTGGGGTCGGAAGAGGAGGTGGAGAAGCCAAGAGAGTGAAGAGTGGAAGCTGTTGGAATCACTGAACAGGAATGAATGAACTAGCAGTGAAATGAGTACAAGTACCTAACCCTAGAATTGTGTACCCCCTATAGGCTAACCCATTGTAGCCTAAACTAACACAACATATATAATGTTTGACACACCCCCATAGGCAAAGTGGGGGAGAACTAGGGGTCACAAGACCAGTCAAGGCAAAGCAAGGCAAAACAAGCTCAGGGTGGATCTCAAGGATACCACACAAATTCCGAGCACAAGCAAGTGGTCACAAGACCAGTTCACATGCAGGTTTATAATAGAGCAAAAGGTACAATGATCACAACCTAACAAGAGTAAACATGCAGGTATATATATAGAGATCCCAGTACAAACAGACTCAAGAAGTATGCAAGTGAGGTCCAGTAGGCACAAGGCCTAGAAGAGTGCAAAAGCGCTGATGGTCACAAGGCTGAAGCGCCTTGGTGAACACATCAGCAGTGTTGGCCTCAGAGGCCACGTAACGCAGGCGAAGCTGACCACGCTACTGCAGCTCTCGAGCAAGGAAGTAACGCAGAGCAATGTGCTTCGTTCTGTGCTCCAGTCTGTGCTCCTCACACAAGGCAATGGCTGCCTTGTTGTCGACGTACAGCACTGGAGGAGAACGAGGCTGCTCTCCAAGGTCGGTCAGCAAGTAGGTGAGCCAGCGTAGCTCCTCGGCCGCCATGGCTGTGGCGTAGATCTCAGCCTCACAACTGGAGCTGAGAACAGAAGAAGAGCGAGTAGAACGCCAAGAAACAGAACCAGAGCCAAGACTGAAGGAGTAACCCTGAGATGACCGGTGAGTAGCCTGGTCGTCTGCCCAAGAAGCGTCTGAGTGCCCAATGAGAACAACTGGGACTCGCCCTCCAAGCACTAGCCCCATGCCCGACGTACTGCACAAGTAGCGCAACACCCTCTTAGCTGCATCCATGTGCTCCTTCCGGTGACGGCCGGGAGCGACATAGCGTGCAAGAATGCTGAGAGGGTATGCAAGGTCTGGTCGAG